GACAACGAAAGGTTGTACAGTTTTCAGAAACGCAGCAGAATAGGTTATGCGATTAAAAAACATAATGATATATTAAAACAAACAAAAATAGATAACTTGTTGAAATATTTAGATGGCAGGCACAAGTAGCCCAGATGCTCAAGCTGGCCGCCGCCTTTGATGATACATACTACTTATATCACTCGACATCAGTAGTACACAGCACAGTTACTCATACAAGTAACATAACATGTGCTATATATTGTCATCAATCCGACCTAGTCTGACCTTAACATGACCTGTCTTTATGTGATTATCAATAGTTAAATAATCTAACATCGTTAGAAGTTCAAATGTCACTAATAATTCACTCTTTTATCGGATACTTCATCATTTATGTGATATTTTCTGAGTGACACTTCATTTCTGTGCTATTTTTAATCAATTTACTGATCAGAAATTGATCATTTCTTGCTTATTTTAACCTATAAGCTTAAATAAACTTTATGCTCGACACTATTACATGAAATGGTTAAATAGACTATCGATTTGCACAATAACCCATACAAATGATTCAACTATTAGTTACGGTTAATGTAACCGATATTATACTATTAAGTACTTGGAACTAATCAACTACCGTCTACGATTTTAGGGAGAAAAAATCCAATTTAACTAGTATGCCGGTTGTAACTTATGGTATTTATGAGAAAACTGTTGAAAGTCATAGGGCACTGGATAGCTTGTGTATTCATAGATATTCATGACTTCATATAGTATTGAAACCATGACTATTAGATCTTTAGAAGAGGACTGTTTGCGGGATATAGATTGGATTAAAGCATGTTCCATACACAATCGCGTTGGTGCACTCTGATTGGTTAAGAATTAGACAATCAGCCCTAGTCGATACTTAAAGAAGACTACAATCTTTTCATGTAGAGACTATAAATATACCCTTGTTATTTGAAACATAATTTCGTTCCTGTTTAACCGTGTTCTGGTTTAGGTACTTGTCGAGTGAATTGGTGTCCATGAATACTAAGCAATAGGAATGGCTTGGTCGTAATAAGAGAAAAATTATAACGCGGACGGTATATTTTATGTCAGTCAGTGGAAGATCTAATTTGAACTTCATTCAAAGACATTGAAAAGTATCAAAAGGGGTTTTGTGGAGATTTTAGTAATTTCAGTAGTTGAGATCATGAGTCAATTGAAGCTAGATCACCATGGAAAACCTGGAAACACTGGATGGCCGTTTCGTCCTATAGTGGAGCTCCTCAGCAGTTTTTGATGATATATTAGATGAAGTGTGATTTGATACCTTTAAAATAAATGTGATAAGTTCATCTACCTTTTCAAATACATCTTGATGACGAATCAGTTAGTCAACCATTCTCTTATGTAAAATATGCAATCAAGCACATATGTGCATCAGTTCAAGTTGCCCTACCGTAGAAGTACGATAAATCATAGAGTAGAATAATTAGTAACAGCGTAGTATGCACTTATGTCGACATAAGTAGTACATAACGCTAGTTAGCAATAGAACGTCTGGCAGCAGACGGTCGAGAAGATCAAGAAAGAAAACTGATGTAACAATGATTGGCATTTTACAAAATGAGTATCCACTGTATTATTCTCAGATTTAACTAAGGCGTTCTGTAATTGTGTGTTCAAATACATTCGATTATCCTCAAGTATGTTCTCATTCACAACAAAAGTATCAGTAGTAATCAAGAAATTGTGGCGTAGAAAGAAAAAAGTATGACAAGATTTTAAGACACCTAATCAGAAGGAAGACAATTACTGGATACGCCTTCATTATTGTGAATAGTTCTGAGGTATATCACGCGAAAACTCTAGCCTGTGATTATGATAATTGTGCTAGTTCTAACGATGTACTCTGGAGATAGCTAGATAAATTAGTTCAATTGTCAATAACTTCATGAACTGATACCACTTAACATAAAAAGCCTGAATGATTAAGAGGGTCTTTGCGATTCGTTTTTGACATCACAGAAAAATATTGTGTTCTACCATATGAAAATGAGATATTCCTTTTTATGAGTTATTGGTATGTCATACAGTCTTCGGATTAAAGAACTGGATGATTTATGGAGACCATAGCACTAATAAACGACTCTTCTTTAGTCATTCTTATCAATGAACCATCTAGATAACAGTATTGAACTTGTCCTCTCTGATCAACAGGTCTACATTACGTAACTATTCTTCATATTACCAAAATGACAGTGTGATGTGTGCTACTGATGTCGACGGATATAAGTAGTATGTATCATCAATCGAACGTGAAATGTCTGGTGGCAGAAAGTTAAGAAGATCGAAGAAAAGAGAATGAGAACATGGAATGATTGGTATGGAAATGATGAAAGGACAATGAAGTTTTAAACAATTGATGGACATATTTTGCAAATGAAGTATTTACTGTATGATTCTCAGATTTTATTAAGATATATGGTAATTTTGTATTCAAATACTTACGATTATCGCCTTTTGTGTTCTCGTTCACTGGAACGGTAATACTAAAGAATGAAATGTTTATAATTGTTACTCAATTGAATGAAGGTTATTTTTACATGTACAATGTAAAATAGAAAAGATAGTGATATTATTATCTGGTTTGAATAGTATTAATCAAGCTTACCATCGATTTCATGTCCCCAACCGACACTTATACAGACTTGACCTGGCTGTACTTCTTCACCAGCTGATGGTAGACAAGCAATATTCACATATCTACTTAATTTTACTGGTTTTGTTAATTTTACCAAGGCTATATCATAACCACTGCTAGAGGCAGCTGAAAAGAAAAGAAAAACAGTGTAGAAATAATAAATGATATATTTTAAAAATAATCAAATCAACTGTAACTAGTATTGTGATGTGTGCTACTTATAACGACATAAGTAGTATAAAACGCTAGTTAGGAATAGAATGTCTGACAGCAGAACGTAGAGAAGATCTAGGAAGAAAGAGCCGGGACCTGAAAGCAATTGGTATGGAAATGAAGGAACAATGAAGTCATAAGTTATTGACTGACACTTGCAAAAAGAACAGTCAAGTTTGAGACAATTAATTGATATTTTGTAAACTGAATATTCATTGTATGGTTCTTAGATTTTGTGATTTTGTGTTCATATTACATTCTATTGTCCCCAGTTGTGTTCTCGTTTACTATAGTATGATTGGATAGTGGCTAGATGTGGAAATCGGAATAGGCATTTTGATACACAAGCAACTGATCATCTGAACTCAGTAAATCAATACAAAACGTAATGTAAGTTCTAAGCTAAAGGTACTAAGTTTGAGTTTTACTATGGATATTAACAACCAACTTTTAAGTCTGAAATGAAAGATAATTGTTATGGATCGTATTGTTAGTCATTATTCAAGTTTACTAAACGTTGATGATTCAGTGACGATGTTTTGAATAGACTTTCATAAAGATTGATTACAAATATGTAAGAAAAGTAACAATAAACAAACATTTCGGCGAGACTCTAATTTATAGACAACCTTTGAACGAATCTTAAGTAAACTTGAGAAATAGTGGCCAATCAGCAAACAGTCAGTATAGAGTAAAAATATGTTAAACAAAACCAAGGAAATAAAGTAGAAACACTTCATGTACATGGTTCAAAAACTTGTCAAGGTAAGAAAGAGGTTCAGAGGTTCTTAAATCGTAATCCATGCAGTAGAGAAAATCATCCATACGGCTACAAAATAGTAGGCCTCTGGGGCCATGATAAAGTCTCTAATACTCTTTCAGCCTCGACCACATAGCTTCAGTATTGTTTATGTGCACTCCGGTTGTTGAGTGCACAAAATGCCACTTGTGGATAAAGAGACGATGCACATAACCAAGCCTATGTAGGAGTCTGTACGCTCTCCAACCATCCGTATATATTGTAGCACCTGTCTGCAGCCAGTGTTACTGGTGCTGTTATTATCCAGTTCGCAATAATTGTCGTAGTTTGCCTAAGTTAGGAATTATATGTGGAGTTTTCATCACGAACTGATTGGCTCGTCCATAAATTAGAGACTCGCGAACTTCGTTTTTACTGTAGATAGTGTGTATTTATCAATGGAGGTGAGTATAATTCTTGTTTGCTGTACACATTTGTTACTTAAAACGAAACTATGTCGTTTTTTATGTTGTAGGATGGACAGATGTAGCTACTAATATTAGTTTATAATGTTAGTTCATCTCTAAGACATTGACTCGTCGGTGTATATGAATCCTCGAACATCAAACCAGCAATCAAAATCAGAACATTCAAGTTTCATAGTAAGTTCTTAATTATTATATTATTGATTTGAGATTCAATTATAAATGTTCTCATCACCAGTCACCTTATAGATATAGCCTAACGATCATCTAGTGTCATGGATGATGATCATTTCAGTCGGAACACGTTATAATGTCACCAAAACATAAACAACTTATTTCGAAGTAATCCACTGGTTATATTGGTTTTATAGTACTTATGTAATGGTTTTATGAACAGTACACTTCATAAGTAAGTTATGCATGATGGTTGGAACCAAAAATACCAGATTTATCCAGTAGATAAGGAAATAGAGAAAATGGTGTGGAATCTACAAACCACCAATCATGAAGTGTGCAAGATTTAGTTACAATGTCATAGTTGCTGTTAATGAGAAAGTTCACCCTTCAATTTAACAATTAAGAATAAAATTATAACCCACACTATAAACTAGAAAATAGAACACTAATATACCAATGAACAATATAAATGATTAACATAATAAACTACACTAGCCTACATATAAAGGATAAACAATGAAAATTAAAGGAAATACTCTTGTCAATAGAAAATTGGCTTGTTATCATCGTCACTGCATCCAAACTACAAAAATATGTTTATATAACTTGGACTACTGAATAATAATTAGTAGTAGTTCGGTTAGTATATAAAAAAAGAAGATGAGGAAAGGTATTCAGACAGTTATAGCACATTCATTAAATAATGTTCTTCAATTGCCTAAAGATTTGAGGTTACTAAAGTTTAATGATACATCAAGCGCATATATGTTTTGTAGACATACTTTAATAGAAAAGAAAACATTTACTTCAAACTAAAACATGTAAGCAGAGATGGATGCTTGTTTCGTTTTATTTGGGACTCCTCAGCAGGATGTACTTACATCTAAGTTAGTGTTCACTACGGGGTTAGAACTCGGTACTGTTTACTTCAAATGCCATCACGCAATCCATTTTGGGTATTAAGAACAGAATGCTTATCCTGGATTTCATGACTAGCTACCGTTTATCTCTAATTATAATGCTTGTGACTTAAAACAATATCGAAGCAGTCCTTACAAGATGCACAGATGCCAATAAGCGAGACTGATTGATTTCGATCTTAAACGTCAATGGAAAGATTCAAATAAACAAAGCAAACATGAATTCATACATCTAAATGTTCATTTTATTATTACATGATTAACATGATTAAGTCAAGAAAATCTTATTTTTCTATACAAGTCTGAAACCAAACACGGAAAAGGGATTATTCCATATCAAATGAGATTGTTGCCAATTGATCTAGAGATAAGATAGAAATATGAAATGAAAAGAATTGATCAATCAGAAAGGATAGGTGATAATTATCCAATTAAAAAATATTAAGAAAAAAAACAAAAATCTGAAGATCATAGTAACAACTGGATAACAATATGAGGGAATAATATTAATTTTAATAGTTGAGATGATGAGTCAATTAAAGTTAGACCATCATGGAAAACCTAGAAGCACTGGACGGCTGTTTCGTCCTGGGTATTTTCTGGAGTTCTAGTGAGAAACACTGATCAGCGGAATTCAACCGGGTCTGTTGTGAGATAGTAACTCAGTGAAGACAATGGTAGATGTGTCGCCCAATTTTATGAATTAGTTGAATGCCGGTCGACTAAATGATCTAGTGGTTAAGCATTCGCGCGCGAGATCGATAGGTCCTGTGTTCGAATCTCGCGGAGGGGGCGTAATCGTGGATGCGCACTTCTTAGGAGTCCCACAATAGAACGAAATGGCCGTTGAGTGCCTCAAGGTCTTCTATGGTGGTCTAGCTTCAATTGACTCATAATCTCAACTATTAAAATCAATATATTATCCACAACACCCCTTCTGGGAATTATATTAATTAATTACTGGCTAAGAAAACGTAAAGATTAGAATAGCTGTTATGTCCATAGTAAAATGAGATTATACGTTGTGGCATAAACTACTTAGTTAATGGAACTTCTTCACCGTACAACGTTATTGTTCCTTATGCTTAAACGTTTTACTATGTTGAGTATTTTGAAAGATTAAACTATTGATTGTTTTGTATTCTCCCTTTTGTAAATCACGTCCGATAATATTTAAATAGGCATTCAGGATGAGTTAGTTTAGTGTAACCTGATCCTCAAACAGGTAAGCATACTTATAGATTCATATAGAAATTGTCCATAGTTTTAATTTATCCTTGATACAATCCATGAATAATAGCAAAGCCTACGAATACAATATGAAGCTATCCAGAATAGAAAATTATGTGTCAGAGATTTTGAAATCCAAGTTTTAAGATTCATCGCAACTGTGTCACCATTCAAATTTGATATTCATGAAGGATATCTTCTGAATTGAAAACAATCCTTAAGGTTGCATTTGCATTTCAGGTTTCTACCACCGAATTTAGAGGGATAGTCATTTTTGATGAATATTTGTTTAATTGAAGATATTTCTTTATCTTTTGTGTTATTGGAGCATATTCACTTAGATCGAACTAAGTTTCGCTTAATGTCCAATTGGACTCAATATTGAAAGTTGATACACTGAGCAGTTCAAATTAATTTCCTGTAATATAGATCTTGGTAAAGAATCATTTGATCTTCCTTTAAATAGGGCATCAAATAAATGAAATTTTGTATTCATGATTGTTGTCACATTTAGGATGACAGTGAAATTCATATTTTCGTCACAAATGATGAATACATCACCTATTCTGACCGTTGTTGCTACCTTGACCTGGTGGTCAGGCTTGCCTATTGTAATGAACTAATCCAGCTATACTGCCTGGAACAATTGTTCCTCAAGGTCCTACCACACCAGACAGGTTGGATGGAGAGCGGTAAGACTAGAGGTAGTAAATCCGAGACCCGAGGGCTGCTGACTGCATAGATGTCTGACGGCAGTTATGTGTTTTCTTCAGACAACCAGCATAACAGCGATTCCGCCTTCCCATTAAGAAAGGGTGTAGTTAGGAGAGGTCGGTCCTAAAAACGCACATCTTGCCTTATCTCACGGATATCCGTCTGCGGAGATAGAGTCCCAACAATTACAAGGCTAACGCGAAAATTACCCACAAAAAGGTCGTATGTGACTGGCCTCAAGCAGTTGTCTCTTGGGTACTGAGGTCACGCTCTCAACTCACTAAGATCACCCTCAACCCAATTTCCTTCTCAGATGCCTGCATAAGAACGCTTCCACAGTGTGAGCAACCGGGAAGTGGTAAAGGCCCTCATACCTTTAACACACTATCTATTTATCTGTTGTATAAGGGTATACATAAATCACCACAGCTTCAGTAAATCATATCGTCTAAAAGAAAACTTCTTTTACTAAGTTTCCTGTAATAAATTTCCAATAATACAATGAATTTCTTTCATTATGTTAGTTTACTGAATAACAATTCGTTAATTAATAAATTGGCTGTAAGATTCTTAAAATTTGAAAAGTTAATTACATTATTTTACTAATTAATATTTATGGTGTACGTTACTTATATCGGCAGGTACAAGTAGTATGTAACACCAATCAGAAATGGAATGCTTCATAGCAGAAGGTTAAAGGAATCAAACTCAAAGAAATAGAAAGGGAAACATAAAAGAATTGAGAATAGGGAAAATTATGAAGGATGTAAAGGACAATTGACGGAAGATTAGCAAATGAGGGACAAAAGTACAGAATCTCTTGGTAAAATATGAGAACTATGCATTGAATACTTTGTTTGTGAAATTCCATTAGTTGTCCTCAACATACTTCATGGTTCATCCAAGTCAGAATTCATTTCTATTTCCAATTCTTGTTTATTCATGTCGATCTTCATAGCCATCTACCGCCAGGTTATCCACTTCCACTTAGTGTTACATACTACTTATATCTGTCGACATAAGTAGTATACATCACATTACTACATAATATTAGTGAATAATGCAAATATTTTAACCATTTATCATGATTTTTAATACTGTAAAATTAACTAATCATAATCATTAATAACTTACATTGATATTGTGGATGTACATAAACATGTGCCACAGACATATCGTAGTGTTCCATTGATTCATTCAACATATCATGTTCACCAATTCGTACAATCCAACTTGATGGATCCGATGATAGATGTGGATAAAATGGATTTGGGCTAAATATAGACATGAATATCAGATAGATAGATAGACAGATAGATTAGGATTGGCCATGTTATTCCTTATGATCTACGTTGAATACTAACTTAATTTAAACTCATCTTTTATAAATTAGAACAATATGATAATGGAGCTTCAAAGTTTTCTCTACTCCTGTCTAAAAAATGTTTCGTTCAAACGAATGAGGTAATCATTAGTGACTTTCCAATTCCTGTTATCTCAGCGACAGTTGGTATGATTTGTTTGGGTTGCCTTCGATTTTAGTAAATAGCCGTTAGCATAAAACAGTGCAATCAAGTTGTAATTCTAATTACTTCTGGGAATTAAAAAGTTCTCTTATGAAGAACCATGTAGTTATGTCTTATTGTAATGTTAATGAAGAGTGATCAGAGTGTTGTCATCACTTATTTACTTACTTATGCCTGTTACTCCACATAGAATATAGGCTGCTAACGAACATTTTCCAACTTACTTTTTTCTTAGGCCATCCTTTCTAATTATTTCCAAGTCGTATTTATTCATTTGATGTCTACCTCTGATTCCCTGAACGATTTGTACTTTAGTCTTCTTTTTTTCTTTTTACCTTCTGAATTTAAAGTTGAGCCTTGTCTTGTAATACAGTGTGATGATTTCCTCAGTGTTTGTGCTGTCCCCCTCCAGTGTTTTTTTCCTAATTTCTTCTTCAGCTGAAAGCTGGTTGTAATCTTTCCCACAGTAGGTTGTTTCTGATGGTATCCGGTTAACCGATTTATAGTATCATGCGTGGACAGCTGTTTATAATTATCTGTACCTTTTTATTGATGTTCGTAGAATTTTTCAACAATTGATCTCCATAATATAGAACTGTCTTGAAGTTCTCATTGAAAATTCTGACTTTGATGTTGTCTGACAGTTGTTTTGAGCTTCACATATTTTTTTCAGTTATATGAATGCTTCCTTTTCTTTCCTAATTCTTGCCTTCCTATCTGCATCCGATCCTCCTTGTTTATGGAAATCATCAGACTGTATTACGAGGCAAGCGCTAACTTGGAATCCTGAAGGGAAATGCAAAAGATGAAGGCCAAAGAACACACTGAGTTGAGAATTGAAAGAAGACATAAGAAGTAAACAACTAGAAATGTTTTCCGAGACAGAATTGGACGGAGAATATTGGTGGATGGCTTATGCTTCACGACGAGTGGGAACAGGTGTAAGTAAGTAAATGAGTAAGTATTTACATCAGATGCTCACTGTTCATCAATGATGCCGCCCCCCCTCAAGATACGTCAAACGTTTTCACCTCTACTAGAGTTTTGCCATCAAGTATACTTAGTTTGTTGCTCAGTATATTGAACTCTAGATCATTCAGTAGAAATAAATAGTAAGATTTCCTAGTATCATCGATTAGTAACGTACGGTATAACAAGCAAGAATACTTGGATTATTTTATAGTTCTGTTAGGGTATATCAAAACTGATAAACAATCAGAAGGCTATTTTCGCAACGATTGTTTTTCCTCTTTAATAAATTAATTATTCATTGGGACGTAATTCATTGTTAAAGGGATCTTGTTGAATATTTCATAAATACATGAATAATAATAATAATAATAATAATACTAATAATAATTGTAATTACATAATACTTATTCAGTTATAGGCTCAGTGAATAATTGATTTCATTTATTTCTGTCTAGTGAAAATCCATTGATAATTGAGGCGGATAGATGGGAAGAATGAATGACGATTCTTTCAATAAACAACTTTAATAATTCAGTTAGTTAATCTATTCTAGTAATTCTATGAAATCAGTTAAGTTATATAAGAAATATCATATGAGCTGGCTATTTTATTCATGAAGTATTTTATATTTAATAGTTGAGATCATGAGTTAAATGAAGCTAGACCACCATGGAAAACCTGGGAGCACTGGACGGACGGTTGTTTCGTCCTATTGTGAGAATTCTCAGCAATGTGCATCCACGATCCCACCTCGAGAGACTCGAACCCAGGACCTATAACCTTTAGACCACTGAGCTCAATTTTGTGGATTAGTTGAAGTTAGACATTAATACCGTTGGATGCCGGCTCAATGTTCTAGAAGCTAAGCGTTCCTGTGCGAGAACAAAGTACCTGAGTCCGAGTCCCGCGTGTGGGATCGTGGGTGAGCGCTGCTGAAGCGTCTCACACAAAGACGTAGCGGCCTCTCAGTGCTTCTAGGATTTCAGTGATGGTCTAACATGCACCTTGTCTTTTTAATAATGACAAGTTGTGTTGCATGAAGTGTCCTATTGATAGATATCAATTTAAATGTATGTGCGGAAACACGCACATAAATAGAAGCAATCTTATTCTGTAAGTAAGGGTGGAGGAACATATACTTTTTATTTTCCATATATAAATGTTCTTAACAAGTAGATTATGTGTGATTAGATTGATTTCGAAATGTATCACATAATCCTGATAACCATCATCTTCTCATTACATTTTAATGAGCAGTATAATATATTCCATCAAGTTGTGTAAGAGAAAATGGAATTTGAGATGGTAGAGAAGATTGGTAGCTCAGGTGGATGATTTTGATAGAGTTTTGTTCTTTGAGCTGATCGGTTTAATCGTGGAGCTTTCATCGTTCTTCTGAATGATATCATCAGCATAAACGTCTTCTAACAAAGGAACAGTCAAGTTTGAGACAGTTGATTGGATTTTACAGATTAAGTATTTACTGTATGGTTTTCAGATTTTACTAAGTGATTCTATAATTTTGTGTTTAAATATATTCAATTGTCTCATCTTGTGTTCTTGCCCACTAAAGTACTCTGTTTAAAACATTTTGTATTATATATCAGCATACACTGATTGATAGTTAGGCAGTAATCAATGTTATGTTTACCTAGTCTTTGGTGTTGATTGTATTCTATTGAATAAGTTAAATTATGTCCAGCATATTTTTTTTTTATGTTCGGGGGACTTGTTTTAATATCTGAGCTACCTGTTCCTGTCATTTAGATATTTCAACAAATTTTCTGTTTCCTTGTTTGTTTTAACAGATCATTATGTCAATCAATTACATAACCTATTCAGGTGCATTTATGAAATGTCTGCAACCTTTCGTTGTACACGTTACAAAAGTGCCTAATCAGAGATATCGTAGTGGCTGACAATATGGATTAAAAAGAATGAACACGATTCAGATGTCGATCCCTGAACTGTTAACATCTAACTGGAGACCATCCAATATTTATCGTAAGGGTTGATCAAGAAATAAGGAACGGAATCTCGCTGAATTACTTTATGCTGAGAATATAATACTGAAGAAAGCTAGTAATAATAATAGCTCGATTAGCTTGAATCCAATAACTCAATCTATAAAGCAGAATGATGTGAATCAGTTCCTTAAATGTCTCAAGAATGTCTTTCTCAGAAGTTCCGATTATTTTATTCAGATTCAGGATCTCTTACTAGTTACTTTCAATATCCTAGCATATCTACATACAAACTATTTAACTTGCTTTATTAATATACCAGCTTCTTGTTAAAAAACGACTTTCAATACCCTTTTAGAACCACAACTAGAAGTGTTCTTCATTCTTTATTAGTTCCATTCATAATGACACAATGTTTCAATAGAAAAACATTGATCATGAATTCACCCGGTGTGGTTTTACTTGTATCTTCCCATTGTTATTTAGGAGTGCAACTGATCAGTCTCACGTTGGCATATGTGGATCCTGTGGGGATTGCCGCGATATAGCCTTAAAGCCCAAATAGGACGAAAGGCGCGTCCTGGATTCCACTTGCTAGCCACTATACACCTACCTACTGATACCTTACGTTAATACTGTCCCTACCAACCTTAACTAATTTAAATAATAGTGAACATGAACAGTATATCACTGAGTTACATGTCATATGCATTATGGTAGACCTGACTGACATATTTTGGTCATTATTGCTTTGTTGTTCCATGACCACTGTTTCCATTTCCCTTCTCTAATTGTAGATAATGATCATTAATTCGTTCTGGCACAGGAAATAACCTTGAATACACCGTTCATAAATTAATAGGCTGTCCATTTAAGAAGAATTAAAAGTTCCCAGCTAATGCACTGTATTGTTGATGTAATACATGTACTACCTAAAGAATTACTGAACTAGTATATTTAAAACTATCTTATATCACATGTTTGTTCTCTACATCTAATGTTACTATTTATACCAAATTGATCACGCCTGTAAACTGGAGTGAATTCTGTAATTATTTGTTATGTCCCGATAAGCATAATGAATGGTAACTTTTGGGATCCAATTATGGACCAATACTAAACGTATATTTTTATCGCATAACTGTTAAATAACTAAACTATTCATATTCGTGTTCCTCTTATCATAATCTGTATTTTCACCTATGAACTATTATTATACGATTTAGTATTTTTGAGTTATACCTTGTCTATCAATTACTAACTCCCACATTCACAGCCACATCTGGCTAATTCTTGTACAAATGCTGTTTCATATTTTATGGTACGATGTGGTCTGCCTGGTTTGTATATAAACTCAGTATGTTTGAAATATGATTCATATTGCACAGACTGAGACTGGTGTTCTGGACTAAACAGGCTGGGCTAAGCAGGAAGCAGGATCAATAAGGACTTTAGACTGCTCCCACGTGTTTATTGCGTCCTTGATTCAATCGATAAGTCACTGCTCCTTAATTGGTGATCATAAGTTATAACAGTGTTGTATTGAAGAAAAGCGTTGATTTATTCCCTGTAAGCATATTTTTGAGTTGTATTTCTATATCTTCAAGAATTTCTCAGTTATATTGGTGGTGTGTTCCGGCCGGAAACAGCTGGTGAATCCTACTGAGGAAACCTAGTGGTCCTTATGGACCGATAAGGGCTCTAGACTGCTCGTACGTGTTTTATGCATCATTGGTTCGCTCGATAATTCACTGCTCTCTAATTGGCGGTATCATCACGTCATACATTAGCAGAACATTAAGACCACAAGTTATAACATTATTATTTTCAGAATATATATATATATTATTGATATTAAACTCCAACCAATAGGCTACAATAGAAAATTTTAAATTTTTATTTACATCCTAAAATTCAAATACGATGAGACTATTAATTTACGAACGACTTTTGAGTGATACTAAGGTGCCCTTGAGAGTGTATGCCTAACAACTAGGACCAAATGAGTGTTATAAACCTGCGTGAGCAATCATAGTTATGATTTACAGTTGATGGTTAAGGGTTAGGAATTAGATTTAAGGTTTTCATCACGAATTGACATCAGCTAAACTGACGAGACGTTATTTAGTCAAATGAATAAATGAATTTCGCGCCAAGATCCAAGACGTGTTATCTTAAATATGATTGGTTCATTCATAAGTTATAATCTTACCTCAAATACTTGTGAGGTGTTATGATATATCTACTTGTTTGTAAGATAGTTTTGAATATTCGAAACTTATGTAATTTGTTCATTGTAGAATTAGCATTTGTTTTACGGTGGGTTTATGTGATTTGAAAAGACAAATCTACAACACAATGATTATTATTATTGTCAGAAGGGTTTTTTGGATATTATATTAATTTTAGTAGTTCAGATCATAAGTCATTTGAAGCTAGACCACCATGGAAAATGTGGAAGCACTGTGTTCGAATCTCACAAAGCAGGATCGTGGATGTGCACTACTGAGGAGTCCCACAATAGGACGAAACGGCCATTCAGTGCTTCCAGGTTTTCAATGGTGGTCTGTCTTCAATAGACTCATGATCTCAACTATTAAAATTACAATTATTACTCTTTCGAAAGTGTTTTCGTTGTATTGCACTGTTGGGATAGTCGGAAAAAGAGACCAATAATTACCATGTTAAGTTCAATGGTGTCCTTGAACCTTAAATGTACATTCTTATTGGTCGATGTTTATTTCACTTGTTAAATATTGTACAAATGTTGTTTCCTATTTTATGGTACGATGTGGTTTGTTTGCTTGGTATATAAATAGAGTATGTTTGAAATATAATGATTCATAACCCAGAGGCTGTGGCTTGTGTTCTTCACTCAACTGGGCTAGGACGGACAGCGAAGCAGGGCCAACCAGGCACTAGGTCGTCCGTACGTGTTTTCCGTGTCACTGTCACAGATCGCGATCGATAAATACGCTGCGTATCAAAAACCTGCAGTCACCCACTCACTCGTTACAACAATTTGGCGACGGGGTAGAGAAAATTTTGAACCCTCTAATTGGACGAGATTCAGCATAATTATTTTTACCAATCAGTATCCAGATTTATCATTGGCGTCCTTGGGAATCATTGGTTGTTAATTGATTACAGTATTTCTCATTACCCTGCTGACTCAGAAAATGACTAGCCTTCCCGATCAATTTCAGCTACTACTATATCGCCAGCAACAGCGTGTTTTGGACTATTTACGAACGCGACTGCTAGATCTCCCATGTTTCGGAGACGTGGAAGAAACTGATGAATTCATTTCTCACTTACAAACTGAACTCGAGAATGACTGCAGGACATATGAAGATAAAAACAAAAGCCTCTATGAATCCCTTATGATCAGTAATGCAAATGAGGCAGTCGCTCATAATCCGTCCAGCGATCCAGAAGTGCCCAATTCAGAAGCATGCCCTGTTGTGGGTTCAAATCCCACTGTGCCTGAAACATGTGAGGTATCCAGCTTACAAGAAGAACCTCTCGTGCCAGAAAATGTTTCCCGTGGATCACATAATGGTCAGAAATCAAATACAATTTTCGAAGGTGCTGTCTATTTTAGTGACCTATTATCCAGTGATGGAATTTTGGAGAGGTCTGAAGAATATGTTGCACCAAAATCAAACCTTAATGACCTCATGTCTGGTGTCGCTAATCCTCATCATCTAGTCAGTTTTAGTGAACCCTCTACTCAATGCGCGAAATATGCTTTAAATAGAGTCAGACTAACTGTTACTTGGGTATATGAGGACCCAACGTTATTTCGCGGGGGAGGACGGACGCAGAAAATTTTAAAACGCAGATATGAACTCCGCATCTTTCGAAAAAGGGGAGGTGTTGGGATAGTCGGAAAAAGAGACCAATAATTACCATGTTAAGTTCAATGGTGTCCTTGAACCTTAAATGTACATTCTTATTGGTCGATGTTTATTTCACTTGTTAAATATTGTACAAATGTTGTTTCCTATTTTATGGTACGATGTGGTTTGTTTGCTTGGTATATAAATAGAGTATGTTTGAAATATAATGATTCATAACCCAGAGGCTGTGGCTTGTGTTCTTCACTCAACTGGGCTAGGACGGACAGCGAAGCAGGGCCAACCAGGCACTAGGTCGTCCGTACGTGTTTTCCGTGTCACTGTCACAGAAGCGATCGATAGATAACGCTGCTTATCAAAAACCTGCAGCCACACACACACACGCGTTACAACATGCACAAATGCAGAGTTTATCTGGTAAGTGTGATTTATATACATGAGAAATATATTTCGAACGATTTAGTCACATTAATACTTATCATGGCTGTTGGAACTGAAAACTGGTGATGATGTTTAAAAATATAAAAGTGATAGATGATTTATAACTGAAGACGTAATAAGTTCGCATATCACACTAGACACTGAATTCAATTCAAGATTACCAAGTCAGATTAAAGGTGTAGTGTTGGTTATTATGTTAAGCCCATATACCTTATTCTAGCTTTCGGACAACCCATTCTATTCATTCTACTTGAGTCACATTTTGACCCTGTTACTTATTCGCTTATCAATCTTGACTGTTTTTATGTGAGCACGTAGGTGTGCGTACACTTCCTATCTCATTACTTATCACATGTCTGTAACTTATTTTTGTGTGACTACAAATATTGATTAACGCTTGACTAAAGGGGAATTAGCTTACCCGCCATATCCACTGCGCGTCGTTCCGCTTCTCTCTATTCTATTCTATTCTCTGCATATACAAAATATATGTATTCAAAAGTCCATTATCGTTATTTGACTTATTTAATTGCACTATTGGCGAACGCGATTTGAGTCGATGATTATGTACAAGGATAGGTGATAACAAACATTTATACGGTCTAGTTAGAGTCAGATCTCGGGTCACCGAAGTGGAGAGCTCTTTTGACAACATCATCCGATCTAAATGACGACAAAATAACAGGCCCCACAAAGGTTTAAAACAAGTTGTTTTGTGCGCATAAATTTTGAATCGTTTTATGCCAAAGGTTTCTGAATAGCTAGAAATGAGGGTTTCTGACAATCTCTACGCATAGTGTGACCTGCCCCAATTACTTTAGACTATCTGTATTTGAAGTGTGAAGTAATTTGATTCTCAATCCACGAAAAAACTAGAAAGCGTTTAATAACTTGTGTTAGATCCAATGTAAATTCGTCGATACGCATTAGTAAAGCGACATTAGAGTGAAAAGAAACTTCAGCTAAATGCTTTCTTTCTTCTCAAGTTTATATGACTTCGTGAAGCAGAATCCAAAGTTTCATACGACAAACTGAAATCAGTTAGTCATCCATTGAAAAACAGGAAGTACTAGACGGTTTTTCGTCTTAGCTTAGGGTTCATTCATGATAACACTTGAGATAAATTCAAAGACCATTATGTTTTGAGCATCGTATTTAACCTTCAGAGAATCAAGTTACTGCCTAGTAGTTCGAATTCTCAACTTCAGTCAATCCACGAAGTGACAGTTTCTTCATCCATTACCTTTAGTAATAGTTATCTGACACACGATATGTTTGGACTCTATTCATCATGACTTCTGACCAGAATTTCAGAATTTACCTCTATGACTCTAATCACTAGTATGTACATAACGAGAACTATCACAGGGTATTATAGGATGAAATAGTTGTCCCCTACTTTATGGTTTCTAATGGTAGTTTAACATTAACCAGTATTTGATTTGAAACTTCGGCAAGAAACTTGTTTTTCTAAATAATAAACTCAACACTAAATAAAACAACACAAGTTAGGTATCTTACTCTGAATCAATTTCAAGAACCATATTTATCCAGGATATATATCACCTACACTATCTTTTAAGAAAACGTTGAACGACAGTTCATTCTCAACAATAATCTTATATATAGTGATATAGCGAAACTCCTGTTGTTCATAAATTTTTCACACAATAAATGGAAACTATCTAAAACTATCTACGCAAAATACTTCGGATCCGTTGGCCAGACACTATCAGCAACAACCTACTGTGGGAGAGAACAAACCAGATCCCAGCGGAGGAAGAAGCGCTGAAAGTGGATAGGACACACATTGAGGAAAGCACCCAACTGTGTCACAAGACAAGTACTCACATGGAATCCTCAAGGCCAAAGGAAAAGAGGAAGACCAAAGGACACACTACTCCGAGAAATGGAGACGGACGTGAGAAAAATGAAGAAAAACTGGCTAGAACTAGAAAAGAGGGCCCAAGACAGAGTGGGTCGGAGAATGCTGGTCGGCGGCCTATGCTCCATTGGGAGTAACAGGCGTAAGTAAGTAAATAAATCTAAAGCTGGATATATATAAGGTACCATGTAAATAATACAAGTACCGTGAATTACCATAGTAATACAAAAAATACATCCATAAGTCTATAAAAACACTCTCGTAATTGATTCGTTTTTACTTGTTTACAGATTTATTCCTGTTGGCTACCCCCAACGACTTAACATCTTAATATAGTACACACAATTTCGAATCAATTAAGTTAATCATAACTGTTATGACTTTATGTCCGACTTTTTATCACGTGGTTTATCCACCAATCGAAATACGACTTATACAATCTTCGCACTGTGCCAAAACCAATGACGTTCGACCGGTATGGGCAGTCTAGCGTCCTTATTGGTCCTATGTCCGCCTAGCCCGTCCACTTTAATCCACAACACCAAATACCAGCTTCCACTATGCGAATCGAATCGAATCGAATCATTAATTCCAGACATACTGGGTTTATATATTAACCAAACAGACCGCAACGCATCATAAAATAGGAAATAACATTTGTGTACACAATAAAGCCAAAACGTGACTGTAAATGTGGGAGGCAGTAGTCAATAAACTGAAGATAACTTAAGAACCATAAACCGTACAATACCAAAATATAGGTCAAAATAGAGCTTATACTAAGAGGAATATAAATATACATAATGTAATTATTGAATAATGATACCATAAGAATGTCTAGATAATTATAGTCTATTAATATGTCTCAGAAGTTACTAGTGATTTAATCTTCGCTCGGATATAACAATAACATCACAGAATTCAATTCACATTAAAAACAATATTGATCATTACTTATTAACCAGTCAACTGAATCCAGAATAATTGATTAGTAATGTCTTAGACTATGTAACTAGTTAATATGTGTTTCAATCTTACAGCAAGTATCAATTCCATCATGATTGAAGATACACCTTACTGTTGAATACTTACTAACAAAATAAACTTAGATCAACTTAATTATTCTACCGATTACTTCTAACCATTGAATATTCATAATGGTTCTTTACTAATGTTTCTTACAATTCTAAGACTTTAACGCCTCCACCCCTTCCAACTCCGTCCTTGATTCTTCATTTCAACATTAGTTGAAATATACTACTCATTATGAATAAAATTTAGTTTAACTATGAATTAGTTTATTTCATGATTGTTTTGTGTATTTACTCTGGTTTTATTGAATCAAAAAAAGAAAAAAAACGCACACACACGCACACTCAAATAAGAGATTTCGATTGTAAACAAATGAGCTACTTTTTATTTTGTAACTAAGATGTTTTTCTTTAGAAAAAAAAAATTTTTTTCTGGTTTCTGACCCACTTATTGATTCATATTGATCATGTATTATTTACATATGAATAAATTAAAGATAATCATAATAACAAAGCAACAACATTCATGTTTATTTAGGTTGCATAGAATGTAGGTTTCGTTTTTTTTTTTTTTGTTTTTTTTTTAAGAAGTAACGACGTAAAATATTAATTTGAAAAAAAAACGAGAAACTACGTTGCTAACTTTTGATAGAAAAAGTGGATTATTATCAGAATGGCGGGGGGGGGGCTCGGGGTTGTGATGATTGTAGTAATTCATACTAGTTGAAATCATGAGTTGATTATAGCTAGACTCAAGATTTCAACTATTAAATGACTATAATCTACACAAAATGCCCGTTCTGATAATAAATCATCATGTGCTCATTAGTGAATGATTTCAAAATGGACTTCTTGGAGTTCTTGTGATAAGATGTGATCAGTGAAGTTCAATCGTGTATGTTATGAGGTAGTAACTCATTGAAGACAATGGTGGATTAATTGAAGCCAGACATTAACACAGTTGGATGCTTGTCGGCTTATAGGTCTAGTTGTTAAGCGCTCGCACCCGAGAATCATAGGTCTCGCGAGGCGGGATCGTGGAGGCGCAGTGTTGAGGAGTCCTATATTAGAACGAAATGGCAGCACAGTGCTTCCAGCTTTTAAGTAGTGTATATAAATTAGGGTATTCAGTTTAACGTCATCACATTTTTAAAGAGTTAATAATGCTTCATTTGTAACCATCTTTATCTCGTCTTACTATGGGACAGAACATGGTTTCGGGATTTTACGAACCAATAAAGTCAGAATAGAGATTTTGTGGAGATGCTAGTAATTTTAACAGTTGAATTCATAAGTCATATAACCGCTAGCCCACCACTGAAAACTTGGAAGCACTGGACGGACGTTTAGTTGTAGTATGGGACTCCCTAGCAGTGCGCAACCTGCATGCGAAACTTGAACCCAAAATTTTTGCTCTCGCGAGCAAACACTTAACCTCTAGATCACTAAGCCGGCATCCAACAGTATTAATACCACACATTAGAACGAAACGGTAGTCCAGTGCTTCCAGGTTTTTCATGGTGATCTAGCTTCAATTGACACATGATCTTAGTTGATACATTTACGATAGATAATGTCAACAAAATCCTCCTCTGGTATTATTTTTTATTAGTTGAATTCATGAGTCAATTCAAACTAAACCATCATGGAAAACCTGGAAGCACTGGACGGCCGGTCGTTTCGTCCTAATATTGATTTGAATTATGGAAAATATAAATTCATTAATCTTACTGACTGATATGTTAGATTAAAAATTAAACTAATGTCAAATATCATATTAGAAATAAAATGAATACAAAACATCAGTAGTTGACAAAACAACTTAATCATAAAGTCTTGGACTGTGAAGCTGAGTTATTCAGTTTCGATTGTCATTGGAAGTATCGATCCCCTCATAGTTATAGATATGAATTTTTGACGAATATCAAACAGAAAAAATACCGAATTCCCTTAGTATTGTTTACTTGAATATTCCCATTGATGTGTTGGTACTACAATTGGTCAGTCACTTATTGGCATATATACATATTGTACGGATTGCCTCGATACTATCTTAAATCACAAGCATTATAAACAAATATGGGTAGTGGTTAGCAGTGGGATCCACGACGCACGTTTCGTCGTATTTAGGACTCGTCAGTTGGATGCACCTCCCACCATCTATCTCTGCTTATAATGGTTGTAACGGAAGGCAATATCAAAGTCATTCGTACAAGATGCACATATGCCAATATGAGACTGATCATTTACAGTCTTAAACATCATTGGAAAGGTTAAAACAATCAACAACAACAAATTAATTAAACTAATAAATGACTTACAAAAAACAATGTGCCGCTGTCATTATCCATTGTGGATGTATTAATGTACCACCGCATAAATGAAAACGTCTACCACCATCTGGATAATTATAAACAAGTGATGGTGGTATAAATGGATCAATTTCATCTAAAATTATTTCATTATTTTTACTAATTTCATCTAGAAATTCTAATTCTTCTTCATCAGCTTTGGTTTGTAATTCTTTTTGTTTTTTAACTTGTTCCGCTGTTTGATAAAACATCAATGATGCTAACCATGGCCATTCACCATAAGCTGTAGCACTACCTCCAACAATACGTTTATTTATTGCTTTGCCAAAATATTTACGCCATTCATAATCAAATGCATTACGACCACAATGTTCAGGGATTTTTTCTAATAATATAAATAAAAGAGTATTTATATTAGGAATCTTTTGGGGATTAAGGAATTTTAAAGGTTTAAATCACTAACTAATCTTGACTTGATCATTATTAAAAAGCTGTGAGTAATGAAGGATAATTTCGTCTTAGTATTGGACTCTTCAGCAGTTGATATCCACAACCATGCAAGCGAGACGAGAACTTATAACGTTTAGTATTGCGAGATATCGCTTTACTTCTAGACAACTGAGATAGGATATAACGATAATAATGTCTAACTTTACCTATGACCAGTTGAGTTCAACTGAATATTTATAATTATCAAGTATAAAGGAGAAATCACTAAAGATCAAGATGCGTCATTCTTTTACATAAATTATATCTAAAAGACATAATGTGCAGTTCTCACAAAAAAGAAAGAAAAAAGTGTGAATATCCTCTCATTGATTGAATGTTGTCTTATATCAGAAAAGTTTTTGTGGAGATTGTAGTAATTTCAAAAGTTGAGATTATGAGTCAATTGAAGCTAGACCACCATGGAAAACCTGGAAGCACTGGACGGCCGTTTCGTTCTATTGTGGGACTCCTCAGCAGTGCCCGTTCACGACCCTGCCTCATGGGATTCAAACGCAAATCCTATCAGTCTCGCTCCAGGCGCTTAACCAACTAGATCACTGAGCTGGCATCCATTGGTGTTAATGTCTAAATTCAACTAATCCACGAAATTGAGCGACACATCCACCATTGTCATCAGTGAGTTACTACCTAACAACTGACCCGGTTGAACTCCACTGGTCACTCCTTCTCACTAGAACTCCAGGATATACCTCTTGAAGCCAGTCACTAGTGAACATATGTTGATTAATATCAGAAGGGGTTTTGTGGATATTATAGTAACTTCAACAGTTGAGATCGTGAGTCAATTGTTTTATAATCAAACAATCTAATGAACACCACATTTAAGCAAATATCTATTTAATTTTAACTGAGATCATGAACCAATCAATGTTAAACCACCACTGAAAATCTGGAAGCACTGAACGGCCGGTTCTTCTTAGTATACGACTCCTTGTTGGTGTGCATCTACGATCTCGCACGCAGAATTCAAACGCAGGATCTTCGACCTTCCTCGTGAAAGTTTAATAAAGTGTGGTACTAAAATGATGATACATTTTGTGTCTTGCAAAAATTAAGCGACAACAATCCGCAGAAAGTTCAATACTAAAATGATTTGTAACCAATATGGAACGTAAACGACAAATTCACTGACCTAATCAATGATAAACAAGTGGTAATCCTTTCATATTATCATCAATTTATGTCAGATAATTTAACATGGTTACAGTGATCAAACAGAATATTAGATTTGCTTAAAACGTTTTCAGAAATACTCTAAATAGACGTCTGACAAAAGGTATCAACAATCTGAGTATAGCAATTATCAGACATATTTTAGAAATAAGATCTCAAGCTAAGATACTCAAGATCAATTAGCCATCTCAAACTTTAGTCTTTTGATGTTTTCTAAAGTTATTTCAATCAATTATCATAAATCTAATCTATTTATTTTAAAAGCGAAAGTTATCACTCTTTCTTTCATTTTCAGAATAGGTTTTGTAGAGATTTTAGAAATTTCACTGATTGAAATCATGAGTCGATTGAAGCTAGACCACTATGGAAAACTTGGAAGCACTAAACGGTCGTTTCGTCCTAGTATGAGAATCCTCGGCAGTCCGCACCCACGATCCCGCTTCGTGAGATTCCAACCCAGGATCAATCAGTCTCGCGCCAGGCGCTTAACCTACTGGACCACTGAGCCGGCATCTGACGGTGTTAATGTCTAACTTCAACCAATCCACGAAGCTGCGCCATCGTACACCATTGTCTTCAGTGAGTTGGTATCTAACAACAGACCTGGTTGAACTCCGCTGGTAACGGCTTCTCACTAGAACTCCATGGTGATCTAGCTTCAATTGACTCATGATTTCAAGCAGTGAAATTTCTTTCATTTCACAACATAAAATCTGTTCTTTCTTAACTACAGGAAATATATTTGTTTTTCAACTTTTTCGTATGATTACTATATTACGTCATATATTGGACTTGATTCTATAGTTTGGTATTTAAATGAATGAACGTTGTTTAGTTTAGGTTTTTGCTTATCATTATCGAATGCTAATTACGTAATAAGCTGCTTAGTTTCCTTGTTATGATGATTATACAAAACTGTCCTGTTGTGTATGTGCATTGACTATAATTTTATGTTATTACATAATAACGTTTACATCAAATGGTGGTTGGAGGTAGTCGACAGGAAACCCTGGACCCGGGTTTTGTACTACTTGGCACTCGTCAGCAAGGTATACCTGTAATCGTGAGGGAACTGATGCTCCCTGGCGGATTCGATCTCGTGTCACTCAGTTTCACAGTCTGAGACGTTACCACTGAGCTATCCGAGGCGCGACATGGTCGATAGCATTCGATCTGCACTAATAAGGTCTAGACACGCATTTTATTGATTGCCACGCAGTGATCAATCAATTGTGAACGTTTACATCATTTTTACACTTTACTGATATGCGTTTATATTGACTACTGGCTATATTGAATTGTATGCGTAATTTCGATTTATTGTATAATTTATGTTTTGAAATGTATGTGAGTTTATCTATCCGTATTCCAGTGTGCAGCATTCGTGTCTAGCTTTAATTGACTCATAAATCCAATTATTAAATTACTATAGCAGCCACAAAACCACTCTCTCATTATAATAATCATATGATCACTACTGACTGTTTCCAAGAGGTATTTCCTGGAGTTCTAGTGAGAAACCGTGATCAATGGAATTCAATCAGGTCTGTATTTGTGATAGTGACTGACTGAAGTCAATGGTGAACAATGGCGTAATTTCATGGATTGGTTGAAAAGAAATATCAACATTTTTGGATGCTGGACAGCTAAGTGGTCTAGAGGTTAAGTGTTGGCGTGCGACATCAATAGATCCTGGGTTGAAATCTTGCAGGACGGGATCGTAGGTCTGCACTGTTGAGGAGTCCCATACTCAGACGAAACGGCCGTCCAGTGCTTCCAGCTTTTCAGTGGTGGCCTGGTTTAAATCGACTACACAAACCCCTAATCTTATAATAATTTTAAATAAGTACCGATTAAAAACAAACAAAAGTTAATCACTAAACTTCACTCAATTTTCAATGACAATTTTTCATGGTTAACTGATATTTATCAGTCAATTATAATATGTGTTAAGTTTCTAATGTAAATCATAAGTTCAAATTTTACGCAATCAAAGTAATTAATCTAAACTAGTTCAGTATATACTACTCATAAATATGTATATGTATATATATAAGTAGTATTCTACACTTCGGTTAATATTTACATTAACAAATAGATATGTTTATATTACTAGTGAGTAGTTTTCATTTAACCATAAAAAATAACATTCTGTTGACATATTCATCGAAATCAAATGACCTTAATCTTTTAAATGTGAATAGTTTAATTGAGAAATATTAAAGTAAATGATTGATAAGCTTCATTTAATAATAAAAAGGAAGAAATCAAATGAAGTATATTAGAATGGTCATTGTTTTAATCGAATTAATCAAGCTTGAAATTAGATAGTGAGTTTATGAAAGTTTTGTTTATGCATTTTAATGATTCTAGATTTTCAGAGTATTGTATGAAGGTGAAATTTGGAGAACTACCATAACTATCATCAAAATGGTACATGTATTTAGAAACAATTATCTACGTAAGATAATGAATGTCCGTTGGTCGGACCTACTGTGGGAGAGAACAAACCAACTTCCAGCTGAAGAGGAACTTGAGAAAAGTCATTGGAAGTAGATAGGATATACATTGAGGAAATCATAAAACTGCCTCACGAGATAAGTGCTAACTTGAAATGTTGAAGAGAAACAGAAAAAAGGAAGGCCAAGGTACACACTGTGTTGAAAATTCAAAACAAAGAGGAAAAACACCTGAAAAGGAATGTCTAGGACAGGGCGGGATGGATAACGTTAGTGGGCGGCCACTGCTCCTCCACGAGGGGTAAGAAGACGTGATTAGATAAGTAAATGAGTAGATTTTATTGTCGATTCAGACGAAATCATCAATGTCTACTAAATGAGTCAAGTGTAACCAAGTTATATCACCGAACAAATACTCATTCTCACTTGTCATGACGTTGTAAATATCTGTTTAAATGTAAAATCTTAACACAACACAAGGATCTTGATCGATAGAATTAGATCTATGCTAAATATCTAGACAAAAATGACATTCTGTACTATTTTGTAGCCAATCACCGTATATATCTCCGCTCTACAAGAGATGGATTGAAGTTTGAATATATCAGTGACATTATTTCCAACTAAAGTGATAGGTATCTCTGGTTCGAGTCTCATATGGAGCATTAGTTCCCCACAACATTATCAGTACACTTTACTGATAAGTATCAATTGACATGGAACTAAGTTCCGGGACTTGTTGCTGACTACCTTCAGCAATTTTCTATTTTCTATCCCTTTTTCATTACATCAATAACTTAATCTCCACTGGAATGTTATCTAATGGGAAAAATTCAATAAATAAAAAAAATGCCAAACAACATATGTTTTACAGAAATGTATAAATGTAATGAAATCTCGTTGATTATAAACTAACTTACCTAATGTAAATGCAAATCCTTCATGTGGCTGTAAAATTGATTCAGAAAGAAGAAAAAGAGAGGGTCAGAGAGGTTTAACGACGAGAAACAAACATAAATACAATCGAGAACCAAATAAAAATCGACAACAATCTCATTGCTGGTACACCCAGCTGACGAGTCCCAAATAGGACGAAACGCGTGTCAGGGATTCCACTGCTAGGCACAATTCAACTTTGCTTAAAACGTTTGTGACTTAAGGCTATATAGAGGCAATCCGCACAGGATGCACATATGCCAACATGAGACTGATTAATTGCAGTTCTAAATAACAATGGGAAGATACAGATAAAAAGACACCAAGTACATATAAAGTTCACACCATTGCAAAAGCAAGTGACTATCAGTAATCAGTAGCTAATTGGATCAAGCGATGGCGTCTGAAGCAAAATGTACTGGGTTCGAGTCTCCGAGTGAACATCAATTCTGGGATGCAGGTACATCAAGCTGACGATTCCAAAATAGGACGAAACGCGCGTTCTGGATTTCACTGCTAGCCACTAACCAACTTTGCTTAAAAAACCCAATATATTATGTAATGTATGAATTGAAAAGACTATGTATTCAACTAATGTGTAGACATGAAAATTTAATAGATTGGTTACAGATTTTTTCTTCCTTTGATAGTGAAGTATCGGGAATTTTTTTTCATTTAGACGATTATAACTTTTAGTCAGCTCATGTTCTTTAGTATAAAGACTATTTCATGAATAATCGTCTTCATAAATAACAGTTTCTGACAATTCAAGGAATAATAAGAACTCTTCAAATGAAAAGTAAATACCTGTCATCAATTTACTCTATCCCTGGGGTGAGGTTTATGTTAAAACACCAAACACAAACGATCTCTGATCTGTGGACATTTTATGAAACTTTATTTAAAACTGTTGAAAACAGTACGTTAATTGAAGTGGTTCATACTGTTCATATATGCGCCGTCCAGCTTTAATGTAAGATCAAAGTTATGATTGACTCAAGTACCTTCAATGTCGCTACTAGGTTCACTGCTTCTTGAGAACTATTAAAATCCACCTAAAATCAGAATAAAGTGTACGCTGTATCCACATACTTAGATCAGTCAACCTTCTGTGCATGATAAAATTATTACTATCATGCTGATAATAGGTTAATCTGAAAGCATTCTTGTTATGTTTTCTAACCCCTTAGTAGTCAATTTTATACAGAGATTGTTAAAATAAAGAACTTACAGTAGGTTTTACATGGGTTTGTGTTTATCCAAATGTTCATAATTAGTGTTTTCTCGAGAAAAAGTAATTAGTGGTGTTATATCTTAGTAAAGATTAAATTATGAGTAACTTCTGAGAGCGATGAATAGACTAATGTTATATATAGATTCTTATTGTGTAACTGTTGAGTAACTAGACTGTGCATATTTATGTTCCTCTGAACTGAATGATGTTAGACCACAATTGAAAACCTGGAAGCACTGAACGGCCGTTTCGTCCTATTGCGGGACTCCTCAGCAGTGTGCATCCACGATCCTGCTCCTGGGATTCCAACCCAGTGGTCTAGAGCTTAAGTGGTTGCGCGCGAGACCTATAGGTCCTTGATTCGAATCCCTCAGGCGGAATCGTGGATGCACACTACAAAGGAGTCGCATACTTGAAAGAAATGACCGTCCAGTGCTTCCATGTTTTCCATGGTGGTTTAGTTTCAAATGACACATGGTAAAACAGTGCCTATTATTTCATGAATCAGAAAAGAAATGATTCGATCAAGAGTTTTATTTGAACCGAAAGTAAATGAAACAATTTATAGATTCTGAAAGAAATGGTGTTAATTTATCAGATAATCTTGCTTTCAATGAACTCTAACTGTTGTTGTGTTTATCTAGTTTTTCAGAGATGATAGAATTCTGTTGACTAAGTTAGATCATGGTTAGTATATCAAACTTAACATTGTGGCTGTGAAGCTGAATGTAGTGTGTTTAAATCTCAGACGGAACATCAATTCATTCAAGATTATGGATATATCTTTCTATCGACGCTTCTTCTCAATTATCTGTAACTACTTGAAACTAAATTATTTTCGTTGCTTGATGGCAAGAAACTTTACTTTCTGATTGAATTAAGTCCCAAGTAGACGTACCAGTTACATAGCATAAAATGAATGTTAATCAATCGCGTTGTAATGAACGAAGACACAAGTGGGGGAAAACCGATGTATTTTAGTACAAAATTAGAGAATCTCTTGGTAAAATATGAGAATCATACATTCAATACTTCATATGCAATATTCCACCATTTGTTCTTCATATTCTTTATACTTCCACCAAGTCATAATTCCTTTCTATTTCCGTTTTGTTTCTTTCTCAAGTCGACCTTCACAGCCTCCTGTTGTCAGGTTTTCCGCTTCCGCCTAGTGTTACATACTACTTATGTCAACAGACATAAGTGGTATGTATCCCATTTCATGCAAAAAAGCTAGACATTTACTATCATGATCATGATTACTCAATCTGATAGGTGTAAATACGCATATATATCAAAAGTTTATTCAGTTTTTCTTCGTGATCTGTTTACAGATAACTATCAATGATTTTCGAAACAAAAAATCCATCCCCCCACCAAAGAAACCCGGTAAAAATGAATGAAATAAGAACCATGATATGAGAAAAAACTGTAACATCAGTTGTATCTTATTTCTGTTTTCTCGGTTATCATTTATAATACGTCTACTGAAAACTGAATTGCAATTTCATATTATGGTAGAATTTGAGCCATAATACGAGTTTTGTTTAATAATCAAATAGTAGATTAGCGTGATAAGAATTCCATGATTGTATTTACATACATAATGAATGAAAACTTGGTTAAATTAAACAAATCTCACAATACATTTGTAGAATATAAGAACCATACATTGAATATACCATTTGCATATATTATCCCTAAAAAAACTCCATCGTCATTTTATTTTTGTTGATACTTGATCTGGTTCAGTTCTTCTATGTCTCTCTCTCCTCATATTAGTTTTTCTATTAGTAGTAATTCTACATCCGATTCTTGATACATACTAACTATATCTCTCCGTTTAAGTGGCGTACATCACACTTGTTCCCTCTTCAATAAGTTGCACTAGCCATCATTCCACTCATAGTACCACAGAACTTGTCACAGTCTGTGCCTCACTGCTTGTCGAAATGTTAAGCCTTCCGGTGCGCCGACCTCCGTAGATGAACGGTCTGCCTCTCTTCATGGTATGCTTGAAAATAATAATAATGGGATTTTATAGTTTATGCAGACTGACAATAGTTAGACAACTAATGAAGACTTGATAGGAATAATCAGTTGTTTCTTTTCTAAAAGGTTTAGGCTTCTCATAAATGGATATACATGACCAAATTAGGGAACGAACCTAGAACGTTCAGTTCTCTTAGCTGAGCTTATTGATCTAGAAGTTAACAGTAAGGAAAAAAGTTATTTCATCATATGAAATCAATTTAAGACAAAGATAATCTGAATAATGAATCATTCATTTCAGTCAAACAAAAACTAAACAAGACAACTTATATGCAAAGATGGATAGTGGTTAACAGTGGAATCCAGGATGCGCGTTTTGTCCTATTTGGGAATCGCCAGCTGGATGTAGCTAAGTGGATAACGAGATAGTGTTTTAAGCGAACGGTACTGAATTCGAGTCTTAGAGTAGACATCAATTCTGAGATATAGTTATATCCAGCTGATGAGTTCCGAATAGGACGAAACGCACGTCCTGAATCCCACTGGTAACCACTAACCACTATGCTTGTGAATTATGGCTATATCGAGGCAATACGCACGGTATGCACATATGCCAATAAGCTACTGATCAATTGTAGTTCTAAACATCAATGAGAAGATACAAACAAACAATACCAAGTGAATTTACAGAAACTTATATATTGAAATACTGAACAATGGGTAAGGAAGAATTTGAGATAACAACACACTGTTAATGAAGTAGAAAAAAAAGTAATAAATTGAAAACTTAGTCATATTTTGGAATAAACATTAGTTCATTAGGTCAATATTAAGTATTTTCGTGATTTCATATTGATCAACATTAATCACTGAAGCATATTACAAATAGTAATATTAGTAGTAATAGTAATATCAATATTATTATTTAAACACATAATCATTGGTACAAGGAGGCACCAAATACATATGCGCCACATAAATCATTCGATTTGTGTGAGGGCTGGGATACTGCCCCGGTGACCAGACCGAAGCAGGTGGTTTTCTTGGGGGGCCACACTCCGATCCTTAGACCTAAAGGTCTGACGCACGAGGCAATGGAACATCATGAGGAGATGCAGTCCCACGGTATCCGGTGACCAACGATTGGTTCATACGCCATTTGTTCTCAAAGGATAGTGGAGCCCATGTGCACCATTGGTTTGGAACCCGGTTGAAGCGCCGGACATTCGCTTTCCGTCCTCTCAATTTCGTAAACAACACCCTCCTCACGAGAAGGCGTATATATATATTATTGGTAAGAATTGAATTATTAAAACGTTTGCATTTAGAATAGAGTTTTTAGGTAGCCTTTATTAAGGTTTGTGTATAGTGTACGAATTGACTGTGTATTGTCTTTTTATCAAAATTATTTATAGAATAGATGAACTAAGATAAGTAGTAGAATCTAGACCGTACATTCTGCCCCATGTTTGGATCCTAGTATTCATGTTCACATTAAGACTTAAACTGAGTCTCTTAAACTGAAACATCTATTGGGTTATACTCTAATTGTCTGAGTGTAAAAAATGACGTAAGTCAAAACTAGATTGTTAGTTCACATGGTATTGTTTACTTGAATCTTCCTATTGATATTTAGGACTACAAATGATCAGTCTCTTATTGGGATATGAGCATTCTGCGCATATTCCCTCGATAAAGCCTTAATTCACAAGCATTATAAGCAAAGACGAATAGTGGCTAGCAGTGGAATTCAGGACGCGCATTTCGTCCCAAGTGGATAACATCATGGCA